GTTAAATCATTTTGCTTACGTAGATAGGTACATAGATATGAAAAGACTGAAATAGATAGATAGATAGTGTTGAGGGGTTCACCCCTTTTTACACAAATGGACTCACCCAGGGTATACATATACTACTGCTAGTGAATACCCGGGGAGCGACGAACGAGCACGAACCAGAACGGACGTAACGATCAAGAGTCACAGTGAGCAAGCACGTAGACTCAGTAAGAAGTCATACAGTGATACGTCGATACCAAAGACTGTATATATATATTTTGCTACTAACCCGCATTCCTGGAACTACTAACTTGCATTACCGGTTTGTAGTATTACATTAATACATTTACTTTGATATATTCCTTCTTGGCGTTTGTTATTTATTGATACCGGATTTCATCCCGGAATCCACAAGAGACAGACAGACAGATAGATAGATAGATAGATAGATAGATAGATAGATTGATAGATGTTGGAAAGTCAATGATATGGGATATTCATATAAAGTACACGCGCATCTACAAATCCCGTTGGCATTCACTACCTTTCTCTCTATCGCACTCTCTCACTATCTCGCCCTCTCTCTTTCTTTCTCACACCTTCTCCCTCACTTTCTTTCTCTTTCTCTCTCTCACTATTTCCCTATATATATATATATATATATTCTCTCTCTCTCTTCTTCTTCTTCTTCTTCTTCCTCCTCCTCCTCCTCGTAGACTTTTCTCTCTTACCTTGCTTATTGACTAAACGAAGAAAGGCAACTTTCTTCGTTAGTACGAACCAACACTTGAAGACCCGAGACTTGGACGATCGACGACTTATATTGGCACCGATCTCTAAACCCGTTTGGCATCTGTATAACTCTCCTTATCCAATAGCCGTGCGAGGATCGAGACATCGGAACAAGCGGGGTTCGAACTGAGCCATTGCACGTCGACAGAAAATGAGACTAGACCAACAGGGACTAGGAGACATGTACGGGTAGGGAAAAAGGTTACATGCTCATCAGAACAATAGCCATTGAATAAATTTATAGTAAAGTTTGTCTATCAGAAAGAGAACATTGAAATTTCTAGCACGTATAAGGAGAAATGAAGGATTGGAAAATTTAACACTCACAGGAACATCGAAATTTCTTGTTTGCTCTTTAATTTTGACGGAAACGTAGGTGTTTATTTGTTATTTTGTAATATTTAAAAAAAAATCTTTATTCGTTCCATTCGAGTGTTACAATCTTGAGTCCACCTGTTAAAATCATACCTTCTGAATCTGTAAACCAACTCACCTAGATATATACCTACCAATTCCAATCTTTATATCTCTTTCCTTTTTTTATGATTTTCGGTGCCAAAGTATTTAGAGATATTAAATACAACCTTTGATATTTTCGCTTTGAAACTTTCTTCGCGAGAAAACTTGTTTACCTCATCAAAAGAATCAAAGAGATTATTCCATAGCCCAAGGAAATTTATTGTTGGTGCCGAAGAATCTTTTTTTTTTTTTAATTTTCTTTAGATGATTCGTTCTCAACGTAAAATAAATTTGTTTTGGTTGGACAAATTTTACAAAGTTTAATAGTTTAGAAATTTGTTGTTTAACCTTCGATAAAATTTTGGTAAGAATTTCCTTCTTTTTTTTTTTGACGTCGTTGTTAAATTGGCGATATAGCGTGCCAATGTTTAATAAATATTTTCGAGTATCCTCATTTTCTTGTGTGTTTTTTTTTTTTTTTTTTGCAATCGTCATCTTCTCTAATTATGAATCCTGTTCTTCTTTCAACTCGGTAACCCCATGCGACTTCGTAGATATTTTTTTTTTTACAGTTCAAAGTATTCAGCGATGAATTCGCACAATACGAAAACTGGAAACAAGTCGATGTACAAACTAATTTTGAGCCCGGCGTTCCTGAAAATTGTTAACCCTTCTGTCTGAGCTCCTGAATCAAAATTCGCAAACAATTGGCACGTAATGTTTCACGGTAGATAAAGAAAATAGTTACAAGTGTTTTACCCACCGTTCAACCGGTGGCTGGGCATTACGCCATTTTTTTTCTTTACCACCGGTAAAACGGTGTTCAGAACTCAAAGGTCAATTATTGAAACTAATTGTAAAAGAAACATCATCCCTGGTCAATCACAATTTGGTTTTTGTCTATTATTTCACCCTTTTGAAGGCAATAAAGCCACTAAGACACAAGGGGTTACAGGGTGTGGGTGAATTAGAAACAGAAACATTAATAATGAGAGGAAAGAGTAATCAGGAGGACAGTAGATAGCCATTGACATTGCATTTAATTTTTTGCAGATTAAAGTTGACTGGAAAGCATGGAGCCAGAAGGGAGTTCCAAAAGCAAGGCAGTAAAGCCACTAAGACACACGGGTTTACAGGGTGTGGAAGAATTAGGAACAGGAACATTAATAATGAGCGGAAAGAGGAAAGAGTAATCAGGAGGACAGTAGATAGCGATTGACATTGCATTAAAATTTTTGCAGATTGAAATTGGCTGGAAAGCATGGAGCCGGAAGTGTTAATGTGTTAATATGCAATAAATTTGTTAATATTCAATAAATGTGTTAATATTCAATAAATTTGTTAATATTCAATAAATTTGTTAATATTCAATAAACGTGTTAATATTTAACATTACGACGTTGGAAAACTGCGATTTTAAAATGTGTTAATATTCAATAAATTTGTTAATATTCAATAAATTTGTTAATATTCAATAAACGTGTTAATATTCAACATTACAACGTTGGAAAACTGCGATTTTAAAATGTGTTAATATTCAATAAATTTGTTAATATTCAATAAACGTGTTAATATTCAACATTACGACGTTGGAAAACTGCGATTTTAAAATGTGTTAGTATTCAATAAATTTGTTAATATTCAATAAATTTGTTAATATTCAATAAATTTGTTAATATTCAATAAACGTGTTAATAATCAACATTACGACGTTGGAAAACTGCGATTTTAAAATGTGTTAATATTCAATAAATTTGTTAATATTCAATAAATGTGTTAATATTCAATGCAACTATTCAATTATTCTATTCTCTGTTTTCTTGGTTCCCTTCACTAAAAATTTTGAATTATGGTGTATCTTTATTTACTGTATCTTATCAATTCTCATCATATCCTTTGTTGCTTTTCTAAGAAACTTTGAGATGAGAGGTTGTTAATATTCAGTGGAATCATTTCAGCTATTATCATCGAAAATATTGTCACTTTTTGATCTCATGACATAAGTTGATATTAATATGAAATGGATCATTTCGGCTATATTTCACGCCATTATTGTTTACATTGCCACTTTCAGATAAGTGGTTGTGATTCATAGTCATTTTCCGACTGTCCAGATTTTTGTTGTTTCTGTCGGAAACGTTGAGACGCTTTGTTTCATTTTCAATCAATCAACAAATCACTTTCCAGCTCTCGGTAAATATGTGTTCGTTTTTTAATCATTTCACACCAGTTAAGGGAATAAAGCCACTAAGATGCAAGCGGTTACTGGGTGTGACTGAAGAAAAGCAATAAGGAGTGAGGAAAATAAAAGAATAAAAAGAGAGAAAATAATGACTAGAATTTTCTTACTGGAAAACTGAAAGAAAAAATTTCTGTGTGACTTTCTGGGATGAGCAGTTATCATTATTCAAACACTATTTACAATGGGACTATTGCCCTCATCTTTGTTGTTTTTATCACCTGATCGCCTTCTGTGTGAATTTCTGGGATGAGCAGTTATCATTATTCAAACACTATTTACATTCGGACTATTGTCCTCATCTTTATTGTTTTTATCACCTGATCGCCTTCTGTGTGAATTTCTGGGATGAGCAGTTATCATTATTCAAACACTATTTACATTCAGACTTTTGCATGTCTATTCCAGTTGGGATTTTGACCTCTGCCGGGTCCTTTTTTCAGGTCTATTATAGGTCGGATTTGGCCTCTGCTGGAGTCATTTCTTCAAGCTAATTCCAGTTCGATATTAATCTCTGCCGGGGTCATTTACTTCAAGTCTATTCCGGGTGGGACCTTGACCTCTGCCAGGGTACGTTTTTCAGGTATATTCCAGGTCCGATATTCACCTCCACTGGGGCTTTTATTCAGCTTTATTCCATGTCGGATCTTGACCTGTGCCGTGTCCTTTTTTCAAGTCTGTTCTAGGTATGATCTTAACATCTGTCGATGCCATTACTACAGTTACATATAGTAGATCTTGAACCAGAGCCTTGAGTACCCTTGATCCAGCCCTAAAGCAACGAAGATTGAACAGGTTGCCAGCCTGGCTAGGATAGACAGCCATTCCATCCGAACCCATTACTCATTTTTCATTACGAATATGATTCATATCCTAAATAATAGTTGGCCTTTTCCGGCATTTATCACCGATTGAAACGCAGTATATAGTTACGTTTCTATGTCTTTTAATGTGTTAGAAATATAAATCATGAACAGAAAGTGGGTAAGTCAGGAGCATTCAGATATAGGCCTGAGACATGGCGCGTGGGAGAATCGTTGATGTGCTACACTAATCGGAAATCATGTTTGTTTTTACCCGACCACAAAATCAAATATCAGGAAACGTAGAACAACACATCTTTGTTCGATCCAGACCATTAGCCATTGACAGAAAAAAAAAGAAAAGAAATAAGAAAATAAAATTGCTTAAAATCCCCTTCTTGAATGGTTGCCCTCAATACGAGCGCACGAATTGTTTCCATTCTCCCCTCGCGGGAGATTTATTTGTAGAAATAGTTTTTAAGTTGTTAACAAATTGTTTCAGGTATTTGAACTACTGTGGAAATCGGAAAATGTTGACGTCTTATTTGGGGTACATTGAGGGGTCCTTTTTTAAGATGGAAGGGATTTTACAAAAAACAAAAAAACAAAAAAAAAACAATAAATCTATAGGGGGAGAGAGAAACGAGGAATACCAGGAAATACACCATTAGTGTGTTTGTAATTAAAGGGAAATTGGAAAAGAAAAGGCAGGGAGATAGTTATATGGAGAGAGAGAGAGAGAAAGAAAGAGGGAGAGAGAGAGAGATAGACAGATAGATAATGAAAAGACTTAGATAGATAGATAGATAGATAGATAGATAGATAGATAGATAGATATTGAACATACTGAGATAGATAGATAGATAATGAAAAGACCGAGATAGATAGATAGATAGATAGATAGATAGGTAGGTAGGTATGAGTTGAATCAGATAGATAGATAGACAGATAGATAGATAGATAGATAAGGAACAGACCGAGATAGAAAGAAAGAAAAAATAAAGAAACAGAGAAAAGAAGACTATTAAAATAAAACCTATAATCTAACGCCAATAAAACAGAAAAATATGTAAAAGTATAAGAATAAAAGAATAATCTGACCCAAATACATATGAAATATATATATATATATATATATATATATATATATATATATATATATATATATATATATATATATATATTCCATTTTTGAAACAAGGTTAGAACTGTGTAGCGAAAAACATATTTTAAATTTAATTAATTTTAATATATATATATATATATATATATATATATATATATATATATATATATATATATATAGTCGGTAGCAAAAGTATTTAACACATTGGTTTTTCTTACGTATCTCAAAAAATAACAGATCAATTTCAACGAAACTTATAGGAAATATTTAAACGAACATTATCGATCAAAACATAGAAGGAAAATTTAAAACCACTGTTTTCAGAAACATTTATTAACAATAAATAAAATAAGCCATATGCAAAAGTATTTAACACCAATGCAAATATTATGCTAGAAGAGACGTGTCGTCATGATTCCTACCCATATTGATATGATGTGATATGTCGACCAATGACAGCACTGCACGACACTCAACTGGCTATTAGATAACAGTTCTGAGACACTGCAGCTATTCTGTTGCCACTACTGCCAGAAAATGGTGAAAACAAAAGAATTGTCGAACGACATGCGCAAGAAGATCATAAAGAATCACAAAGATGGTAAGGGATATAGAAAAATCGCTGAAGATTTGAATTTGCTTGTGAGTACAGTTGGTGCTGTTGTTCGAAAATGGAAAAAAATTCGATACTATTGAAAACATTCAAAGGAGTGGTCGTCCTCGTATCTTAAATGAGGCTAATGAGCGATACATTTCCCGTACTGTGGAGAAAAATCCATTTCCAACTCGTCGAGACATTCAGAATGATTTCAAAAATGCCGGAATTGAAGTTAGTAAAGATACAATTAAAAGATCACTGAATCGTGCAGGTCTCACTTCAAGATCACCGAGAAAGACTCCATTACTGAAACGCCGACATGTACAAGCCCGTTTGAATTTTGTAAAGAAATATGAATCTAATGATTTCTGGGAGAAAGTAATTTGGTCAGACGAAACGAAAATTGAGCTTTACGGACGAAACAGGCGCACTCATGTATGGAGGAAAAAAGGAGCGGAATACGAGCCAGCAAATACCATCCCTACAGTCAAACATGGGGGGGGGGTGGAAATATTATGATGTGGGGTTGTTTTTCCTCAAATGGAGTAGGAAAAATGAAAATCATTGAAGGAACAAAGAATGCTGCAAAATACACTCAAATTTTGTCAACTCAACTCTTGAACAGTGCCACATCTTTGGGAAATGGTCGTGATTTTGTATTTCAGCAAGACAATGACCCGAAGCATACTGCTAAAACAACTAAGAATTGGTTTAATAATAATGCCATTAATGTCCTGGAATGACCAAGCCAGTCACCGGATTTAAATCCAATCGAAAATTTGTGGAAACTATTGAAGTTACGAGTTCATAAAAGAAATCCATCGAATTTAAACAAATTGAAGAAAATTTGTGAAGAGGAATGGGTCGAAATAACAACAAGTACCTGCAAGAAACTAGTTGAAGACTACGGGAAACGACTGGAGGCTGTGAAGCAGAACAGAGGTTACTGCATTAAATATTAGTAAAGTTTGTTAAATACTTTTGCATATGGGTTATTTTATTTATTGTTAATAAATGTTTCTGAAAACAGTAGTTTTAAATTTTCCATCTGATCGACAATGTTCGTTTAAATATTTCCTATAAGTTTTGTTGAAATTGATCTGTTATTTTTCTGAGATATGTAAGAAAAACCAATGTGTTAAATACTTTTGCTACCCACTGTATATATATATATATATATATATATATATATATATATATATATATATATGTATTTATGTATATATGTATGTATATATATATATAGAGAGAGAGAGAAAGAGAGAGATGAGAGAGAAAGAGTGAGAGAGAAAGAAAGAAAATAAAGCAATGAATGCAAGAAGGCCTTACTTTCACATCTCATAACCGTTATACAATAGAAAAAAGAAACCATGTAAAAAAGAAATCCTAGCGTATTACTGCAATAGAAGACGAAATCGTAACAGTATAAAATGTATAAAGAAAAACAGTATAACGAAAAACGAAAAAAAAAAAAAGAAAAAAATTCAGGAGCCGGGAATAATGCTAAAAACGAGGCTACGCTTCTTATACTAGAAAGAAAAAAATGTAAAACTTTTCTTTCTATAAAAAGAAAGTGGGGACAAAAAATAAAGTCTACCGAAAAAAAGAACAAAATGAAAACAAGAAATTTTGATTATCCTTAAAAGCTGAAAAAAAAAAAAATTAAAAATTAAAAAATATAGACGTAAAAATAAATTTAAACTCTAAAACAAGAAAAAAAAATGAAGTGGCTAAAAAATGTGACAGAAACCCAACAAAACGAATCAAAATGACATTTTTCAACGCGGGAAAAGTTAAACAAATATTTGTATTCCTGGTTTCGACAGCTCAAGTTAAAATAAACCTATCAAAGTAAATCTATCATTTACGGTTTGCAGCCGATAACGTCGCCATTTTAAATGGGTCACTTAGATCCCCATCAAGACCGTTCTCTCCGCTGGCAGGCTTGATATGTCTTCTGACTAACGCGGCCATTTTAGAACACGAATTAGGCCAGGAATAATGCATCGTGGCTGAATTTAGAAAAACTGCCCCGAAGAAAATTGGGCTGAAAATAACTGAATAATAACGATATTTTGGGATTTTCTATAGCGAAAGTTGGAAGCAGTTGCCAGAAGGAAGATCAGAAATATATGTCTGTCACGAAAGTATTTCTAAAAAAAAAAAATTGTAAAGGAGGGAAGACCCAGGTAGTCACTACTGAGTAAATTTCATATCTAGACATAAAGATGTCCTCGTGGAATACAAATTTTCTTAACAAATAAGTTGAACGCTGGTTATTTTTTTCGTCACCAAAAATTTGACATTACTTTCTGTAAAACTTGGGGGTGTCATAGGGCATGCAAATTTGACATAGATCGATCCGGAGGGCCTAGAAAAGTAAAAGATAGGTTCAAAGAATCAATTTCTTTCTTTCTTTCTTTCTTTCTTTCTTTCTTTCTTTCTCTCTCTCTCTCTCTCTCTATCTATCTCTATCTATCTATCTATCTATCTATATATATATATATATATATATATATATATATGTAAGCAATTATATGGATATAGATCCTACAGATAGAAGAAAATATACTGAAAAAACAAACAAAAATCATAATATGCGATTATGCTGTTTTAATGTTTAATGTCAACGTCGGACGTTTCGGTCTAATAGACCATCTTCAGGACATATTCATAAAACATAATTAACATAGACCATATACAATTCAACATGAAAAAGACGATGGACATAAAACAGATTTCTGTTATCTGTTTGGATTGGTATTGCTTTTATGTCCATCGTCTTTTTCATAATAATTATATATTTTAATATTATATATATATACATGGCACATAACTGAGTGACCGACCTTTGGGTAAGCTAGCAACCCTCTTCTTCTCCCCACAGTTATAGCAGGAGAGATCGGGTTCTGTAGCCTTGGGTGGCAACTGGTATACCGCAGAAAGAAAGCTACTATGGAAAAATGATCTGCCTCGTCAGTCATATATCGAAGGATACAGGATCGTCTAAGCATGTATCTCGCATGGCACATAACTGACTGACTGACCGTTGGAAAAGGTATGAATCCTCTTCTCCTCGACATCCCCATTCCAGCTATGGCTAAATAGCAGGTTCAGAGCAGGTTCTATAGCCTTGGTTGGCAACTGGTCTACTGCAAAAAGAAATGGCAACCTACTGCGCGAAAAAAAATCAGCATCGTCAGTCATATATCGAAAGATGCATGATCGCCTAAGCGTCTATCACGCATGGCACATAACTGACTAACTGACCTTTGGGAAAATTCTCTCCTTCTCTCTCAAGTTAAGGGCAAATAGCAACACAGACCGAGTTCGAGAATGCAAGACTCTTCGGTAAATCGAATCGAGTTCTCTCAGTCACTGTGTGTTTATCTAAAAATAAATACACTTTAATTCACCTTCATCCCCCAACGGCTTAATGATAGAATCCCAGACTGACGCCAATTTAATCAGGTTTTGATCCTAGCTAGAGGCAACCGGACGTCTATCCACACTGATGAGCTATGATACAGCGAAACAGTCTGTTGTGAATGACATTATATATATATATATATATATATATATATATATATATATATATATATATATATATATATCGGGTGTTACAGCAAAATTGTCCATTTCTATAGATTAAGATATGAAACCTTGTGTCATAGAAATGAGTAAAGATATTCTTATTGGTACCTCCAAGATATTTCTAACGTTATTAGATTCTACTTTGAGCAATATGTTATCATCATCAACATCAATTTTTATACATATATATATATATATATATATATATATATATATATATATATATATATATATATATAGCAAAATTGTCCAATTTTAGATTAAGTTTGAACCGTTGTATGTAGAAATGATTAAAGATGCCTTACTGGAATTCTTTGAGGTCTTTTATAACCCTATTGGACTTCTTTTGAGCAATAAGAATGTATAATTACTCTCCAAGCTTAAAAGAAGAATCGTGAAATAAACGGAAATGACATGTTCATCATTAAATAATCATAGCTAAAGATCGAATGCTCATGAAGTATTGAAATAAAGATAAAGTTCAAATATATATATATATATATATATATATATATATATATATATATATATATATATATATATATAAAGTATTTGACCAGCAGATCTTTATTCAAGCATATATTGTGAAATATAACAGCAACGAACGTCTATTATATTTGAGCATGCGCCTTTCTAAACTTCATAGACTTTAATTTCGGGAGAAAATAAAGAGAAAAACTGTCCAACATTTGGATATATTTTATTATGCTGTTCCATATAAATGTACATATAACCATTCTAAAGACGGCTCATGTGACCCTGAAACTTAAATCAATGAACAGCATAATAAAAATAAAATCGCCAGAAGTTGGAGAAACAAACAAATATTCAATACAAGATCGTGTTTTTGAATAAGGCTCTCTTTTTTTTATATATAAGTATTCTGCCTAGTGAATATATCTGTAAACATGCAATGATTGTTTCCGTCAATCAACGTTTGTTTTTTATAGGATAAATACACAAATGCCTTATGTGATAAACCCAGCGAACAGACTAATTCAAAGTTTGTTTGTCTGATTTGAAAGGAGAATAAATCAAGTTTTCGTCTAGTATTTCATTTCAATGAAGAAAGCAGTAAAAATCTATAAAAAAAAAAGTTTAAGAATAGGTCGGTCTGCCATAATTTGATGTACTTCGTTGGACTAAACGTCCAACGAAGTACATCAAATTATAAATAAATAAATTCGGAAAGAAATTCTACACCATCCTCTGACGATAAAAAAGAATAAAACAATACCTAGCGAGAAAACTGTACCTCTCTAATAAGTAAAATGAAACGTTAGGTACAACCATGGATATTTTACTGGGATGAGTTGATGACAGCTGTAGATATTGTAGATATTGTATGCTTTACACACACACACACACACACACACACACACACACATATATATATATATATATATATATATATATATATAAGTGAACATTGAAGCAATCATCATGCAATCTGAGTGTTGAATTCAATGTTCCGTTTTATATTTACATACGCTCTATTTCTAATATTAAGCACTTTATCCCATAAATATAGCACACCTTAAAACTGAATTTCTTCATCTTTTATATATAAAATATATATATATATATATATATATAATACGAAAATTATAATTCAGAGTTCTTAGCTTTTATTTTTATTTTTTTTTTAATTTGCAGAAACATCAAATGATCACGACACTCTACTCATGTACACATCCTCGCAGACGGAAGAATACGCTCGAATGCACATCTGCAGAGACGGGCGCATGGCTGCCCGCGCACAAACGCACACTCAAATTCAAAAAATACGGAAAAATCCACGGCAATGATAAATTTATAAAAACAAATAATTTTATTAAAAAATTAAGCAAGAAATTTTGATACCTCGTTAAGGGTTGACGAGCAGTACCCTCCATGAAACTCTGAAGTCGGGATGCTGAAGGTAACATCAGTCAGCTAAGTAACAATCCTTTATTATATATATATATATATATATATATATATATATATATACCGGTGTAACAGCAAAGTTGTCCATTTCTTAGATTAAGATATGAATCTTTGTGTCTTAAAAATAGGTAAATATATTTTTAATGGAGTTCTAGAGACTTTTGTAACTTTATTGACTCTACTACTTTGAGAAATAAGTATGTACAATTCCTTCCCAAACTTAATAGAAGAATCGTGAGGAAATCGATCTTAAACGTAAATGGCATGTTCATCATTAATTAATCATAGCTAAGGATTCGAATTCTCATGAAGTACTGAAATAAAAGTTCATATATACATATATATATATATATATATATATATATATATATATATATATATATATATATATAAAAGTGTATATAAATATAAATAAATATATATGTATAATTATTTATATATTATATGCGCGGTACTTATTAGAAAGCGGTCAAAATCAGAGATAGAGCTAACATATTTGGTTGGATAGATGTGAGTTTGTGACCCTGGGTTTCACGCTTTAGCGATCGTCAGACAAACTCTGAGGAAAAAAAAGTTTGTCTGACGATCGCTAAAGGGTGAAACCCAGGGTCGCAAACTCACATCTATCCAAAAATATATATATATATATATATATATATATATATATATATATATATATTCTAGGAGCCTTTTTACAATCTTCGCCCTCTCTAAGTTACTGTCCTGGAGTAAGAAGTCGCCTCACAAATTTTACGTACGATTTCATTTTCAATTCTTTTTTCACTGATCTTTGGAATGTCATATCTGAAACTCCTTTCTTAAGTTTCAAATATCTTATGAATTGAGTTGGATCTTTTCTAATTAATCTCTAAGGTGAAATGATGATTCCTCTTGCTGTTGTGACTTCGTGATCCAGTTTTCCTCTTTACTGTTCCCTTATTTTAAATCCACCATTTTATTGGTGGTTATTGAATTGGATTTTAAAGATGGAGGTCAGAGTATGAATGATGGTATCATTACTGAAGGCCTAAATAATCTTTTTTCTCTTACTATTGTTCAGTGGTGTAGAC